GAGGACCACAATGGAAATAAGTCCCAGACTTTATTGTGTGTTATCCTCAATGATTTTACTAATGTGCATGTATGGCTTTTCAAGTTTTTCAAGTTGTATGTTTTTCTATTTTTTATGGTTGAATTATTAAACTAAACTAAAACTGAATTTGGTATTTATATCAACAAGAAAAAAACAAGGAAACTATTAACTAATTCTTTGCATATGTGACGCTAATGCTCCAAATCATCTGCATTCGTCTTCTCCTCATGAACCATTCGTCAGCTTCACTCCAGATTTTGTATTTAGACTCTGGGTTGCACATAAAGGAAGATAGTTCCTACATGATAGAGTTCTTGCTTGGTTATTCAGTTGATCTTGTGTCCTTTCTGTCATCCAGTGAACCCCATTCATTGCTGCTCACAGCTATATTTATTTTTATATTGTTTTATCTTCATGGATAACTTGTCATTAAAATAGAAATAAGCCAAGGAAAATCTCTGGGCCCTATGTTTACCAGCTAGCTCTCCAAATACTTTTTGGTTAAAGGCTCTCCAAATACCAAACTCTTTCTTTATTCACTAATTTCAATTACTGGGGCCAGAGTTTTTCCTGACCACGTGACCTTACCAGAAACCCCCCCCCCATTCCCTCTCTCCATCAGACCAGTGTTCATGGGGAGAGCTAGACAGACCACTGGCCCACTTCCCATTATTAGGAACAAGAAAGGAATGAATCACGGTGCAAGTCTTCATTGAGAAATGACCAAATATAGGCATTTTGTGGATGCAGAGGTTTAGGCTGGGCAGTTGAGACGTAAACTGGCCTGTCGCTATCCCTCTCAACCCCCAGTGTCAGATGTTGTCAAAACATGATAACACATATTCCCTACTAGTAGTAGACAGTTAAGTCCCCTCTCTTTTGTTGGTTGCGTGAAGGGTATGATCTTGCAGGAGTGAATCTGTCGGAAACAATGTACACTCACTCTCTCTCACTAAAGGTCACATTCCATTTAGTGTTGTCGGCCAGCCATGTGTACAGAAATGTAAATCAGATTGACATTATACACACAACAGTGCATTAGATCATTAGCTTTGCTACGGAACACTTCATTGCTCGCTGTGTGTGTACACAAACCTTTTATTAAGATCTATTTGACGTCTTATACTTTGCATGGCACACAGAATTGTCCATTTGGTCACAAAATGTCCTTTCCCATCAGCTTCAATATCTTTACAGGTTACAGGGCTCTACTGAGACAACATATCTTATATAGATATTGGAAATTATTTCTGATTCCGTCAACCAATCAATAGACAGACTGACATAGCCGAATGAATATTTCTCAAGCATTAGAAATTGTATTATTAAACAGAATATATTACATTGAAAACCAGGGAAATGTCCCCCCTGAAAGGGAAATATTGTTTATACAAGTTCAACATTAACACAAAATACAGTAAACGTATCTGTTGCATTTGTATCAGTAGCCTACTGTACTGTATTAGCCTACCATCAAATAATGGACAGATATGTCTCCATCCTGTATCTTCGTTAGACAAATTAGTTTTTAAGATGTACTTGATTATGAAATTATTATAATGAAGTGTATTATATTACACTTTTAATTGCAAACATACCAGTACCTTTTTACAGGCTCTGTAACTTAGTGAAGTCCAAAATGACACAGAAACCACATTATGCATACAAATAGTCAATAGTCACTTTTAGAGCACTGAAAGAGACATTCATTTTGCTCTGCCATGGTAATAAAATAAAATTTAGTGGTAAGACATGACTAGTAGTAAGACATCTAGCCGGGAATATATTTGCATTGTTGTCACTGTAAATAGTATTCTGTGATTTGTTTTCTTTGCTTTTGACATTGTCATTTAATTTCCTATATTAAAATCATTATCTTTTGCACTTTGAGCAAAATGTAAGAAAATATATTTATAAATAACGTTGTTATTACCAAACGTTGTTGTATAACGTTGTTATTACTAAAAGGTTGACCATACTTAAATCCCCCCAAAACTGAACTTCCTTCCTGAGTCTTTCTAAGAAGACTGGGATTCTAGGTTGCTTTTATGTGTAAAACTTTGCCTGAGATGTCAGTCTTGAGATTTGGCAATGACACACATTACAAACCACCCTGTGAATTGCTGAAGTCTAACCCCATTTTAATTCCCTGATAATATGCCATGGAGAATCAGCAGTTTGGGCAAAATTCCAAGTGATTCCCTCCACAAATAAATACACTTTCAAATTACCATCCAATATTTCAATGAACGTTAAAGTAGTTTTGTATATACTTTTTTTTATAGAATTTTACACGGCCCCACATCATACATCGTATACATCATATGCTTTTGTCAACATACCATATGAACTGCTTCATAATCTAGTGCAAATGACAGGCAAAGCATCAACACAGACACAGGCAGACAGTTAGGACCTCAGGGCACGTCCTGCTACAAAACTCTGCCCCCTTCTCACTCCACGGGGTCCCTGCGGTCCAGTGTTTAGTTTGAGGAGAGAACTCACGGCACAGTGAAGGCTGTACATCCAATAGAAATCTCAATTTTCACGTTCTGCTTGCCTGCCTTATCCATCCCGCAGCACAGTGGTAAGACTGGATGTCAGTCTGTGCGTGGGATGTGTTGGAGCTTCGATCCCCCGTGAGATCTATGTCCTTCCTCTTCCTTGGCTTTTGCTCTCCATTCCAGAGGATTACTGCAACAGCTTTGGTACCGCAACCTGTAGGAAGAGAGGGGAGAGTGAATGGATATGCATATAGAGTGCCTTCAGAAAGTATTCATACCCCTTGACTTATTCCACATTTTGTTGTGTTAGAGCCTGAATTCAAAATTGATTTAAAAAATGTTCCATCTACACACAATATTCCATGATGACAAAGTGAAAACATGTTTTGAGATATTTTTGCAAATCTATTGAATATTGATTTAAAAAATAACTAATTTACATAAGTATTTTCACCCCTGAGTCAATAGTTTGTAGAAGCACCTTTGGCGGCGATTACAGCAGTGAGTCTTTTTGGGTAAGTCTCTTAAGAGCTTTGCACACCTGGATTGTACAATATATGAACATTATTCTGTTAAACATTCTTCAAGCTCTGTCAAGTTGATTGTTGATCATTGCTAGACAGCCATTGTCAAGTCTTGCCATAGATTTTCAAAGCAAATTTAGCCAAAACTGTAACTAGGCCACTCAGGAACATTCAATGTCGTCTTGGTAAGCAACGCCAGTGTAGCTTTGGCCTTGTGTTTTAGGTTATTGTCCTGCTGAAAGATGAATTATTCTCCCAGTGTCTGTTGGAAATCAGACTGAACCAGGTTTTCCTCTAAGATTTTGCCTGTGCTTATAGCTGTATTCCGTTTATTTTTCCCCCAAAACTCCCTAGTCTTTGCCGATGACAAGCATAACCATAATATGATGCAGCCACCACCATGCTTGAAAATATTAAGAGTCGTACTCAGTGATGTGTTGTGTTGGATTTGCCCCAAAAAATAACGCTTTGTATTCAGGACAAAAAGTTAATTTATTTGCCATATTTTTTGCAGTATTACTTAAGTGCCTTGTTGCAAACAGGATGCATGTTTGGGAATATTTATATTCTATACAGGCATCCTTCTTTCACTCTGTCATTTAGGTTAGTATTGTGGAGTAACTACAATGTTGTTGATCCATCCTCAGTTTTCTCCTATCACAACCATTAAACACCGTAACTGTTTTAAAATCACCATTGGCCTCATGGTGAAATCCCTGAGCAGTTATCTTCCTCTCTGGCAACTGAGTTAGGAAGGATGCCTGTATCTTTGTAGTGACTGGATGTATTGATACACCATCGAAAGCCTAATTAATAACTTCACCATGCTCAAAGAGATATTCAGCATCTGCTTTTAATTTTTTTACACATCTACCAATCGGTGCCGTTCTTTGCGAGGCATTGAAAACCCTCCCTGGTCTTTGTGGTTGAATCTGTGCTTGAAAATCAATACTCAATTGAGGGACCTTACAGATAATTGTATGTGTGGGATACAGAGATGGGGTAGTAATTCAAAAATTATGTTAACCACCATTATTGAACACGGAATTAGTCCATGCAACTTACAGTTGAAGTCGGAAGTTTACATACACCTTAGCCAATTTTTTTTCTGAGGTCTTGGCTGATTGCTTTTGATTTTCCCATGATGTCAAGCAAAGAAGCACTGAGTTTGAAGATAGGCCTTGAAATACATTCACAGTTACACCTCCAATTGACTCAAATGATGTCAATTAGCCTATCAGAAGCTTCTAAAGCCATGACATCATTTTCTGGAATTTTCCAAGTTGTTTAAAGGCACAGTCAATTTAGTGTACGTAAACTTCTGACCCACTGGAATTGTGATACAGTGAATTATAAGTGAAATAATCTGTCTGTAAACAATTGTTGGAAAAATGACTTGTGTCATGCACAAAGTAGATGTCCTAACCGACTTGCCAAAACTATAGTTTGTTAACAAGAAATTTGTGGAGTGGTTGAAAAAAGATTTTTAATGACTCCAACCTAAGTGTATGTAAACTTCCGACTTCAACTGTATTATGCGATTTGTTAAGCACATCTTTACTCCTGAACTTATTTAGGCTTGCCATAACAAAGGGGTTGAATACTTATTGACTCAAGACATTTCAGCTTTCAGCTTTCAATTTTTTATTAATTTCTAAAACATTTCTACAAACAAAATTCCACTTTGACATTACGGGGTATTGTGTGGAGATCAGTGACACAAAATCTCAATTTAAACCATTTAAAATTCAGGCTGTAACATAACAAAATGTGGAAAAAGTAAAGGGGTGTGTGAATACCTTCTGAAGGTACATGACTGTAAGTCGCTTTGGATAAAAGCGTCTGCTAAATGGCATATTATTATTATTATTATTACAACCTGTGACTGAGCATCCCTGCAAACCCTAACTCTCTCAATGTCTATCAGCAATTGATCTTTGCCCCATCTTACCTTCTTCAGTTTCTTCATATTGGCATTCCTAATGGAATCCAGCAGTTGGTCCCTGGAGTTCGTACCACCGGATTTGTTGGCCTTATCATCCATCTTCCTCTGTGATGTGGGCGTCAAGGAGTTGCGCAGGGAGTCTATGCACAGCATGGGGGGTGGAGGTGGGGGTGGGCCCCCAGGAGGTGGGGGTGGGCCCCCAGGTGGAGGGGGTGGAGGAGGTCCCCCTCCTGGTCCTCTTTTTTGAGTCAACTTCGGAGAGGGCTTTGGTGAGGGGTGTGGGGAGGGTTTAGGGGAAGCCTTGGGGGAACCCCTGAGGAATCCCACAGCAGTCTTGGGCACCTCCAGCATCCCTTTCTTCTCACCGTTGGCCTGGGCCAGCTTTTGCTCCTGTAGGCGCCGCTGTCGCTGCTTGTCCATGTTGCGGCTCAGGATGTTGGTCATGGTCATGCGTGGGCCGGCCAGCTCAAAGCCGTAGCCCAGCTTCAGGAGGGTGGTGTTGTCTTTCAGTATCTTGGTCATCTCCATCTCTGTCTTGCCTCCGCAGATGTGTCTCTGGTTGTGGAAGCGCAGCTCGGTGAGTGTAGTGTTTTTCTGCAAGGCCTGGATCAGGGCCATTATACCCTTGGGGGTGAGAAGGTTGGAATCCAGGTTGATGCTTGTGATAGACGTGTTGGTGCGCAAGGTGCCCGCGATGGCGTAGGCCACGTGGTCGTCAGCACGGCAGTTGGCCAGGGCAAAAGTCTTAATGTGGGTGTTTTTATTCAAGACCTCTGCAAACTGGATGAGTGTTTTAGCCTTGATGACCTCCGAGTTGTTGACGTTGAGCTCTGTCATGGTGGGGTCGTTGCTGCGAACCTGCTCCATGAGGTCATCGAACATGCTGGAGTCCTCGTCATCTTCCTCCTCTACTTTGGTCTTGCTAGGTGTGCTCTTGTTCGCAACACAGTTCCCACGTTGTTCCTCATCCTTGCTGGATTTCAGTCCTTCGTTTGTGTCTTTTCCCCTTTTCTCTTCTATTTCTCTGCTACTCCTCCTATCTTTCTCTTTTATACTTTCCTTACATTTGAACCCCACATCTTTCTTATTCTCCTTACCATCTTCTTTCGCTTTCTCCTTAGGATCTTCCTTCTCCTCTTGCTTCTCACTTCCGCTCTCCTTTTCTGTTGGCGACTTTTGTCGCTCAAGTTTCAAGTCAGACTTGTCCTTCTCAGGCTTGTCCTTCTCTTCCCCTCTGTTTTTCTTATCTTCTGTTTTACTCTCTTCAACCCGACTTTGCTTCTCCACAAGCTTTGACACAAGTCCCCTTGTCTTGTTCTCATCTCTTTTTTTCATATCCTCTTTTCTTTCTTTCTCCTTGATCTCCTCTTTTTCCTTTTTCTCTTGTAACTTGGAGATCATTTCTTTTGTCTTATTACTGGTGCTCAACCTCTTGTCTCGTTTCTCCATCAGCTTGTTATCCTCGTTTCTCTCTCTTTCTTTGGCATCCTCTTTCTCTAAACTGTCTCTACTCTCCTGTCTCCCGAATCTGTCTCTAGCTGTTTCTTTAACATCACTGTCCCTTTTCTCCACTCTCCTGTATTTTTCTGTAGTTGTATCCTTTACATCACTGTCTCTACTTTCCTCGCTCCTGTATCTGTCTCTAGTTGTATCTTTCACGTCAGCATCCTTACTCTCTTCTCTCCCGAATCTTTCTCTAGAGGTCTCTTTCACGTCTTTGTCTTTGCTCTCCTCTCTCCTGTATCTATTGGACAGGCTGACTCTGTCCTCCTTAGTGCAGTCTGGTCTTTTCTTATTTCTCTCCATCTTGTTCTCTCGTTCTGTTGAGATACTTGATTGCCTTCTGATCCCCGCTCCTTCTTTCCCCTCCTGACTCAGGCCCATCTTTCTCAGGTACTCTTGTTTCCGGCTCTCCTTCTTTGGTTCCCCCTGCAGAAGAATAAACATTCCATAGGGACGATTCCACATAAGTGAATCTGAGAAGCATACATTTACATGACTTTCAAGAATCCACACAATAATCTAAACAGTAATCGTTTTCTACTGTCAAATCCAATTAGAATCATGCATTCTTAGTCGTAATGTGCCTTACCTGTTATGGTCATCACTGCATGACCACCAACAGCCCTATCAACATGACTAATCATAGGCCTGTCCTCCAGCTACAAATCAGTTTGTGCCTTTGTTGTTTCTAATGATTTAAACAAAAACATGCATTAGTTCATTCATGTTCTCTAGAAATATCAGATATTAAAACCAGTCTTTCTTAATACTCGACTTATTGTGTTATTTCAAGTCTATTTATGAAGCCTAACTTGTTGGCCCGGAGAGCACAGTATGACATAAGCTATGATACAATACCACAGCGTGTAATGTAAACTTGGCGTTAGATACCGTGTGTTTACAGTGTGCATGGGGGAGTCTGTTAATAGTGCAGAAATACATTTGCGGAGCAGCTACTGTAAGTGTTTGATTTGTGAGCCTTGCTCCATCTGTTTTGTTTGCGCGAGGCTGTGGCCCTGGCAGATGTTTCCTTAAAAGGCATTGAGCAGCATAGGAGCAATCAACCAAGGAATTCCATCATGCCGGGATTAAGAACCTCCACAGAGCCCATGCTCCATCATCTGAAGGGCCCTTCTTTATACATATCCAACAGCTATCTCCTGGCTCTGTTTTTCCCTACCTGGTGGGCCCTATGTCAAAAAGCTGTAAACTAAAAACAAATTAAAACTCATCTTTGACCTATAAACTACAAAGCTATACCAAAATCAGGTGACACTGTGCACAACAGTGTTTTGATAACTGTATCTTTAAGCATTTTCTCTGTTTACCAAAGGGGACTTGTGTGAAGAATGTGAAAGGTATACAATAGTGTTTTTCCTGGCATAAGAACTAACAGCAGCGGAGCACAGTTTATGAACTACTGGAACCTTTTCCGACATCCAGTTGGCAGGGGAATAAATGTCAGAAGTATCATTAAAATACCTGTTTAAGGAACACTAACCTAAATTAACTATTTATCTATTAGACATTTATGAATTGTAATTTGTTTATCTGTCTTCCAACAGCCAGTCCTATTGACCAAAATGAGGCTTGTTATGGTATAAAAGTAAATAAGTGAAACGGGTGGAGCTGATGTCTGTCTGAGAGGATGTGATTAAGCATCTCACAAAGTGGACTTTAGAACAACTCTGTCTCACACATAATAAACATGAACTGTGGAGGAGTTCCACTGTATGACTCGATGTTTAGTAAACATACCTCAATAGACTGTTCCTTTTGGCTGAGCTTCCCAGGAAGCTCCCGGCTGTCCAGCTTAGCATCCCGGTCCCAGACAGTATTGGTGACAGACTGCTCTATGGCTCTGTCCAGCTTAGCATCCCGGTCCCAGACAGTATTAGTGACAGGCTGCTCTATGGCTCTGTCCAGCTTAGCATCCCGGTCCCAGACAGTATTAGTGTCAGGCTGCTCTATGGCTCTGTCCAGGTTGGGGGCCACCAATACCTCCTTCTCCAGCTCCTCAATCTGCTCAGGGGACAGGTTGGACAAAAGGACGTCCAGGTCAGGGTCCTCGCTCACCTGCCGCCCCGTTCGCGTCAGTCCCCTCACCTTCCTCCTGGACATGGTTGCCTCTGGCTGGAGAACAGTCAAAGAAAACACCCTCGGAGCAGAACAGATGAAAACAGTTTGTAGCCTACAAGTTGTATGGTATCTCCTTTAGAAAAGTGTGCTTTCCTAGTGTAGGAGCCTGCAGAATATCCCCATGGGCCGAAGGTGTTGTCCCTCTCACTGAAAAGCCACCAGAGGCATCAATCCTGGTGCTAAGAGGGAGGACTTGAGACTGGGCTTGCAGTCAGGGTACCAGTATGGAGTGTGTTAGTCTATCATGCAAGTTGGTCTGTAAGGCTGGGACATTCTTTGAAATCCTTTGAAACGGCATGTCCATATTTAGTGCAGGGTACATAGTCCTTTAAAGGCAATGGGAAGGGCTGAGCTTTACAGAAATGCCAAAGCATGATATAACACAGTGCTATTTCCTCTTTCATGATTACAGCATTACTTCAAGAGGGTTTGGTGTTCAATGAACACAGACTTAATTAAAAAAACGATGAAAGTTGAATTTGTCGTCTTGGAAGACATCTATTCTATTGAGGTGTTTTATGACATAGTTGAATGAGCTTATAACTAATAACAAGCTAATGACTACAAAATACTTGATAAAATTGTTGCAACCAAGTGCAACATTGTGTTCATAGGACATAGTTTACAATTATATTTTTGAATGTAAAACAGAGATTTGTCAATTGGCTGCAAAGTAACAACTTAAGGACATCTAGTGGTCAAAATGTTGTAGTAAAATTGCATTACTGTCATAGCCTCCGCAATTTGATACATTCAGTTATAAATTGACTGGGTGATTGAATGATTGAAAGCCAATAATTACTTTTCTGCCTTCCAACTAGATTCAGAATCCACCTCTAGATGGGCATCATCACCCAAACTTCTCCTATTAAACTAAAGTTTCACACACTCACGGTAATGATATCATTGATTCCAAGGCAACAAAATCAAAAAGGTTTTTGTTGGTTAACTATTTGAAAACGTACCATGCAATAAACGACAGTAGACTGCTGCATTTTACATTTCAAAGTTATAATTTATGTTATTAGAAAAAAACCATAGCACTTATTATATTACAGTGTCTTACCATCCATTAAACAACAGACAAACAAGTAAGAGCTGGGAACTGTTCTACTAGTAACAGATGTGAATTACGCTCTGGTAAAATGTACACAAGAAAATAAGTGCATTCATTAAGCAAACTTTAGAACGTTTTTTTCAATTATGTTGTGAGTTTGTGAACCCTTTAGGATTTTCTGTATTTCTGCATACATTTGACCTAAAATGTCATAATAGATCAAGTGAACATGTTTAAACAAATAACACAAAAACAATTGTACTATTTAATTTCTTTATTGAAACAATTGATCCAACATTAAATTTCTTTGTTAGAAAAAGTATGTGAACCTCTAGATTAATCATCTGAATTAAGTGTAATAAAGTAGTCAAAAGTGTAGTATTTTGTCCCATGTTCCTAGAATGCAATGACTACATCAAGCTTGTGACTCTACAAAAACTATTTGGATGCATTTGCAGTTTGTTTTTGGATTATGTTTTTCCCAATAGTAACCGAATGGTGACTGGAGTAATTTAATTTTTTATTGAGTAGATAAGATGTTTGTAACCTTCTCACTCAACATTATTCATGATTCTCCATAATCATGGTAGCATCCACATGAATGTGGAAGTGTTCAGAAACATCTTCTATCCTTACTTAAAATAAAAGTGACTCCAAAATGGCACACCATTCAGTTTGTTGGGCCAAACATAACCCAAAACAATTTCAAAACAAACTGCAAATGCATCCCACAAGTTTATAGTCACAAACTTGATCTAGTCATTGCGTTGTAGGAACATGGGACCAAATACTAAACTTTTGACTACTTTAATACACTTAATTCAGATGATTAATCTAGAGGTTCACATACTTTTTCCAACGAAGAAATGGAATGTTGGATCAATTTGCTCAACAAAGAAATGAAAGGGTACAATTTTTTGTGTGTTATTTGTTTAATCATGTTCAACTTGATCTATTATTAGGACTTAGGTGAAGATCTGATCACATTCTAGGTCAAATTTATGCAGAAATACAGAAAATCCTAAACAGTTCACAAACTTTCTCTCACCACTGTACATACACTTTACATGTTGACAATAAATATCAAAGTAGTCCAATTCAAATCATAAAATATCAATAGTTACAATAGTGTTTATAAATAAGAGCATGTCACTATTTTACATTGACACTTTTAAGCACTAGCTGGCCAAGAAGAATCAGTAGATCTATTGCATGATCATTCCTATCTGAACAAATATGCCAAGATTCTCAATATTCTTCAATAGAAAAATGTATTAAGAATCTCAGTGAGGGTAAAATAGAATGCCACCTTATCCAACACATTTGACCTGGACGAGCATTTCAGTGGTTACTAATAGTAAACTGTACAACATGCTCAACACGTCATGTTCTACTGTACAGTTCAAACATCCTACAAGGTGCAAAACAAGGGCTCAGAGACAAATATAATAACCATAAATGAAACCTGTAAGGAAATGCTCAAAGCATTTAATGGTAAAATATTTCTAAAAAGTTGTCTGTTACAATAATAACATGATAAAATATTGTTTACAAAATATGTCGTGAAATAGTTTCTTGAATTCACGATGACACAAGGCTCAGATTTGTTATTTAGGTTATTAAATATTGGCTGGATATATTACTGTAAATTAACATTTAAACTAATAAATAAACTTCTCTCTGACAACTGAGTACAATGACACATTGGGATATAGCAGAACATGTACTGTATAACTGACATTGTAATATACATAAAGTAAATGTTAATCTATTGCAGAAGACAAGCGGAGCATGAGATGACAATGAAATCCCCACAGAGAGCTGGCTGAAGGGATCCAATAGAGTGAGAGGAGCCGTCAACTCTTCTGAGCATTTAGACTTTTATACAACAGATAAGAGCCAACCAGCTCTCACACACACCCTGTTATCTGCAGGTATGACCCTCGCTCTGTCCACTACCGGATTAAAGCCAAGCAAACGTGAAAACAGATGTTCACCATTCCTCAAGTCAAACGTCTTAAGCAGAGAATTAATGTCAAACAAAGCATGTGACCTTGTAGAATGTGGTTTTGGGTTACACTAATTGCGATGGATGGATGTCAAAGTAAGTGCATGGATGCAAGATGGTTACCTCACTTGGAATGGTGTGACATTTTCCACATTAGACTGTCAGTAGGAATCCAGTTCAGTGTCAGTACAGACAGGAGAACCCAACTCAGCACATGCTCTGTTCCTTTAAAGGATGGAGAAAATAAAAGGACAATAAGGTGCCTCTGGTTTTCTTTCACTGGGCAACCACTAGAAGAGCTGAGAGCCATGGTTGCCTTCTTGTGGTCGCCTTCTCTTCTTGACGCAGACCTTACTTTGTTGCTCCTCTCCTCTCCATGTACAGTACATGCTTTCATCCCATCAGTGACCTGGGTGGGGTGTGTACTGTGGTGGGGAGTAAGGAGGGGGTGCTGCAAAACACAACAGTAAAAGGTCAATTATAATATAGAAAACAATATCTGGCTCTATATAAAAATGTGCTTCATGATTTTGTTTACTCTTCAGACATCGATATTGCATTAGTCTAAAAATCACATCACTCAGTAGTAATAATAAAGGGTTTCTGGTTGTCCTCTTACCTCCCTGAGGGTAGCCAGGGTCTGCCATGGGGTATGGGGGGAACGGGCCGGGTTGCATCATGGGGTATGGCTGAGGCATGCCAGGATACTGAGGTGCCATTGGGTAACCAGGGTGCTGATAATCAGGATGTCCCATCACCAGCGGCTTGCCGTAAGCGTCATACATTGGCTCCACAGGGTAGCTGGCCATTGGGATGTGCTGGGCTGAGGTTGAAGCATACAGGGTTGTAGTGAGCTTCCTTATCATTCAGTCAATATAGAAATACAGTATACTGTGATGATCTCACTAATTCAATGAATCCCCACCCCCATTTTCACCTTTTACAGTTTTTCCCCAAATTATTTTCACATTATAACTACGTCCGACATTATAACATTCAAAAGCAGGCAGACTTAAAACCCTTCCCAACTGCAATTCACCACATTATATACATCTATCCAATGAACACATTCTGTTAACATAAATCCATCATGTTACCATCATAAGGCGTCCTGCCACGCTGCTGTCGTTGCTGGTAGAGGTAACAACAGGAGCACATGAAGCAGCACACCATGGTAGCAATGATAGCCACGAAGAGCAGGACGGAGGAAGCAATACCAGCGATGGTGGTAGGACTAGGAGAGGAAGGGAGGGAGGGATGGGAAGATACCTCAGACTCTTTCTAAAAGCTTCCACAGAGTAAAATCAAGACATTATCTACCTCATTCTAACATTTAGTGCAAAAGTATCAGTGTCACAACTACCAACTGTTTTCATCCACAGAGTTACCCTGCGACCCCACAGTTCCAGGGTTCATAAACAGCTTTCCAGTCCCATCTCTGCCTCAGCTCAGCTATTCATAAAGCGTCTCAGAGTGTAGGGGTGCTGATCTGGGATCAGTTTGACCTTTTAGATCATAATGAATACGATTACATGGTCAGAGGGGACTGATCCTAGATCAGCACTCTTTAATCTGAGACACGTTATGAATTGTATTTGTCACATGATTCGTAAACAACAGGTGTAGACTAACAGTGAAATGCTTACTTAAGGGCCAACAATGAAGACAGAAAGAAAATAGAGAAATAATAAAACAAATAATAACAGGTAATACAATTCATAAATACACAATGAGTAACGATAACTTGATGTGCAGGGGTACGAGGTAATTGAGGTAGATATGTACATATTACTAGGAATAGAGTGACTAGGTAACAGGATAGATAATAATAATAATAATATAATATGCCATTTAGCAGACGCTTTTATCCAAAGCGACTTACAGTCATGTGTGCATTCATTTTCACGTATGGGTGGTCCCGGAGATCGAACCCACTACCCTGGCATTACAAGCGCCATGCTCTACCAATTGAGCTACAGAGGACCACAGTAGCAGTAGCAGCAGCGTGTGTGATGAGTCAAAAAAGTTAGTGCAAAAAGGGTCAATGCAGATAATAAAATAGCTAACCGAATAGCTAGCCGGACTAACTATTTAGTCTTATGGCTTGGTGGGTAAAAGCTGTACAGGGTCCTGTTGGTTCCAGACTTGGTGCATTGGTACCACTTGCCGTGCAGTAGCAGAGAGAACAGTCTATGACTTGGGTGGCTGGAGTCGTTGACAATCTTTAGGGCCTTCCTGACACCGCCTGGTATAGAGGTCCTGGATGGCAGGGAGCTCGGCCCCAGTGATGTACTGGGCCGTACGCATTACCCTCTGTAGCACATTGCGGTCAGATGCCAAGCAGTAGCCGGTGATGCAGCCAGTCAAGGTGCTCTCAATTGTGCAGCTGTAGAGTTTGAGGATCTGAGGGCCCATGCCAAATCTTTTCAACCTCCTGAGGGGGAAGAGGTGTTGTCATGCCCTCTTCACGACTGTGTTGGTGTGTTTGGACCATGATAGATCCTTAGTGATGTGGACACCGAGGAACTTTAAGTTCTCGACCCGTTCCACTACAGCCCCGTCGATGTGAATGGGGGCATGCTCGGCCCTCCTTTTCCTGTAGTCTATGATCAGCTCCTTTGTCTTGCTGATGTTGAGAGAGAGATTGTTGTCCTGGCACCACACTGCCAGATCTCTGACCTCCCCTAACATACACTGAACAAAAATAAAAACACAACATGTAAAGTGTTGGTCCCATGTTTCATGAGCTGAAATAAAGAAGATCCCAGAAATGTTCCATACGCACAAAAAACATTTTGTGCACAAATTTGTTTACATCCCTGTTAGTGACCATTTCTCATTTGCCATGATAATCCATCCACCTGACAGGTGTGGCATATCAAGAAGCTGATTAAAACAGCATGATTATTACACAGATGCACCTTGTGCTGGGGACAATAAAAGGCCAATCAAAAATGCCATGTCTCAAGTTCTGAGGGAATGTGCAATTAGCATGCTGACTGCAGGAATGTCCACCAGAGCTGTTGCCAGAAAACTGAATGTTCATTTCTCTACCATAAGCAGCCTCCGACATCGTTTTACAGAATTTGGCAGTACGTCCAACTGGCCTCACAACCGCACACCACGTGTATGGCATTGTGTGGGCGAGCGGTTTGCTGATGTCAACGTTGTGAACAGAGTGCCCCATGGTGGCGGTGGGGTTATGGTATGGGCAGGCATAAGCTACGGACAACAAACACAATTGCATTTTTTCAATGGCAATTTGAATGCACAGGGATAGAGTGCCGAGATCCTGAGGCCCATTGTCGTGCCATTCATCCACCGCAATCACCTCATGTTTCAGCATGATAATGCACGGCCCCATGTCGCAAGGATCTGTACACAATTCCTGGAAGCTCAAAATGTCCCAGTTCTTCCATGGCCTGCATACTCACCAGACATGTCACCCATTGAGCATGTTTGGGATACTCTGGATCGAATGTGTACGACAGCGTGTTCCAGATCCCGCCAATATCCAGCAACTTCACACAGCCATTGAAGAGGAGTGGGACAACATTCCACAGGCCACAATCAACAGCCTGATCAACGCTATGCAAAGGAGATTAACTGTAACATGAACTGTTGTTGCATGTTGAATTTATATTTTTGTTCAATATAGTAGTAGGTGCAGAGGATTCTTCTGCTTCTCCTTAACTGTGTTTTCAAACTGGGTCATGTTCAGTAGGACGAAGGGAAAGCAAAAAGAACAAGTTAAAGTAGTACCTCCTCGTTTCACTCCATTTTACAACATTTTCTCCCTACTGGAAACCACCCTGATCTCCAGTTGGGTGTTACTGCTCCCAGCGTGCTCAGTGGTGTTAAGTGATGATGGAAGCTTTTTATGCTGTGAAAAAAATCTGCAGTGTTGCGTCCTATCAGGTGCAAGGTCACTTACCTCAGCATTAAACCAATCCCTGAGAGGGAATACAGAGTGACCACTAAACTGTATTGATAGATGGTTTCTCAGGGGAGCAATGTAATCAATTAGCAAAATATGACCAACGTGCAACAGCCAGAAAAATAATGTCTGAACGAATAAGAGGCTGTGTACTCTGACGTTTAGGGAGCCAGTCACGCAAACACACGTGCACACACCTGAACTGGAAGAGCATGCAGCGCTTCTGCTCCCTCTCAGTGATCCTCTTGAGGCCGTCCAGGCAACAGTAGCGCTTGTGGCAGTTCCCACAACAGAAGGTCATCAGGGGACAGGGGACACCGTTGTGCCAAGTGCCATTCTTATCCACGTACCACAAGCAGTCATCAGTGGCACCCACTGCAGATACAGTCAAGGATAAACAGACAGAGCAAGACAGACAGACTTAGAAGGGTGGGCTTACAGAGGCAAAAGAAAGCTGATTACAATCCTGAGACTACTCAGTGGTCTTAATATTTTTTGTGAGACACCAAACAGCCCATTGGCTACATCTCAACACATATTTACCTTGTCCCAGACCTGCTGTTTTCAACTCTCTCTCTCTACCGCACCTGCTATTTCAACCTTTGAATGCCCGGCTATGAAAAGCCAAGTGACATTTACTCCTGATGTACTGACCTGTTGCAACCTCTACAAACACTGTGATTATTATTTCACCCTGCTGGTCATCTATGAACGGTTGAACATCTTGGAGAAAAATCTGGCCTTAATGGCCACGTACTGTAATAATCTCCACCCGGCCACCCCTCAGAGCCTGGTTCCTCTCTAGGTTCCTCTCTAGGTTTCTGCCTTTCTAGGGAGTTTTTCCTAGCCACCGTGCTTCTACATCTGCATTGCTTGCTGTTTGGGGTTTTAGGCTGGGTTTCTGTATAGCACTTTGTGACATCTGCTGATGAAAAAAGGGCTTTAGAAATACATTTGATTAATTGATTGATTGAATTACACTTGGAGGTTGAAGAATGTCACAGTAAAAATGTTCAGAGGTTATAGGCAGCAGGCTGTCCTGTAGGGCCTGATGCTATACGTAGGTAAGGTGCACTCAACTCTTACCCTACGAGGTCCGGAGCCTGCTGGGTTTCGGTTCTACCTGATAATTATAATAAAGTATGAAAAATGTATGCACTCACTAACTGTAAGTCGCTCTGGATAAGAGCGTCTGCTAAATGACTAAAATGTAAATGTAATAATTCATTGCACACACCTGGTTTCCCAGGTCTAAATCAGTCCCTGATTAGAGGGGAACAACGAAAAAATGCAGTGGAACTGTCCAGAGTTGAGTTTGAGGGTTATAGGTCATTATAAAGTGGGTGGTTCAAGCCCTGAATGCTGATTGTCTGACAGCAGTGGCATATCAGACCGTATACCACGGGTATGACAAAACATATATTTTTAATGCTCTAATTACATTGGTAACCAGTTTATAATCGCAATAAGGCAACTCGGGGGTTTGTGGTATATGGACAATATACCATGGCTAAGGGCTGTATCCAGGCACTCCGCGTTGCGTTGTACATAAGAACAGCCCTTAGCCTTGGTATATTGGCAATATACCACACCCCCTCGGCCCTTATTGCTTAATTATGCCACCTGCATAGGTGCCCCACTCCCTCCCAACCCATAAGAGGAAGTTCCTGCTTCATTAATGTAATTTCCTTCTGGTCCAAGGGACTACAGATGAATCAACTAGTGATGGGTTGGTTCGCGAACGAACAGCTCTTTTTGAACATTTACATACCGCTACAACTGCTTTTTGAGCTCAAAACAACGATTACCTGCAGATAAGTTACAACATAATGATCTAAAGAGGGTGAATCCTCACTACAGAAACAGTAAATAGTGGAGATAGCGCATCATTCTGGTACACGCTCATTTTTGCAGTGCCTTAAAAATGTTATCTAATAATTTGTCCAAATAAAAAAAATATTTCACTATCTGACATAATGGTAGCCTACTTTTTGGGCTTTACTTTGGAGATTTCAATTTTTCTTTAGTTCTAGATCGATTTTGAATGAAGAGCCATTTGGGAGCCAAATTAGCCGGCTCTTTTACGTGAACGGAGCCAAATAGGCCGGCTCTAGGAAAATACACGAAATGCCGATCACTAGAATCAACTACAAAGGAATCTGAGCCCATGTCATATGAAAGCATGTGAATTTAATTAGGTCAGTCCCCAATATACTGTAAATATAATTACATTATTAATTTAACAGTCAATGGATTGATCAGTTGATTTCTTATATCTAATCAAATTAAAATGAGATGTTCCCCTGATCACTTCTGCCAATTGTTTATTGTTTTGACTCCAATGGGTTCTAATACTGTTTAGACTATTTTGTGAAAACAGAATGGATTTTTAATGAAACGGTCAATCTATTCGAGATAAAATTACGAAATTAAGGAATATAGGCCAGAATAACAGTTGTCTATATAGGCGTGGGAATATTTGGCTATCGTGCGTTTCGCATTTAATTTGAGACAACCAAGCAATTCTTGAATAAAAACAAACATATCAAAGGTCTATAATAAATATTGGTGACACAGGCGAAAAAATGAATAATGTCTGGACACCCCTTAGAACGTTTAGGCATTATCTGGATACATTAGCCCTGTGTCGAGTGGATTCGCCTACCGCTAAAATGTATGGATACATTCTTGCAACACGTGTAAATTGTATCCAGAAATATAGCTTAGTGCCGCGGCCTGTTAGAAAAACCAAGCAGCATCGTCAAGACTTACCCTGCCAGGAGGAGAGGAGGACGGTCATCACTGGCAGAGCCATAGCGATAAGGGACATCTTGCCTACTGTAAACATACTGTCCAAAATGATGAAAATGTCGATTTTTTTGCAAAACCAATGGCAGATTTAACAGCTATTTCGCTCCATACGCCGCTGTAAATAATAATATCTCTATAATCATGCTCTAGTTGTGGAATTACATGACAGCCGGGAGGGAATGAGGTTAGTGATCAACAAGACCTGGGTAGAATGACACATCGCCTATGACGCTGTTCACCCAGGGGTCAGATGAGACCAATGAGATTCCTTAGCGCCTCCGCGGCCTCCTGGTGGAAATAATACACTGCACATTATTCCAACTGTCATTTTTAGAAGATATGATGCTATTCTGTCTACAGCACACAGGACGAGAACCCTCTTGTTGCGTTTTAGTGACAGCTGAGCTGTTACTAATTTGAATACAGCATACCACCTAAAAGTAAGTTACCCTAGGCCCGTAGCTTACAGAACATCAGTATTTCCAGTATATCCAATCCTTAAACATGTTTTTCCAATTCATTCAGGTGTTGCATTTTTCTATTATTGATACAAAATATTAATAAATCCAATGTTGCAATCACAAAAACAAAAAAGATGCTAATATCCGTCCTGCATTTGCCATCCTCTTGCACAAAAGCCCCCATTTACAAGCAGGGTCAACTAAGAACAGATACCAACTATAATTATAATTGTAATGTATGCCAGCTATGTATTCAATGTAAGTCACATTTCAGAAGAGGCACTCACTGTGACTGCCAACACATACTATGTACTCACATTTTTCACTCCCTGGGAAAGTGACTAAAATAACAATGGAATCTGAAAATGGTGTCCTGTTGGGACTTTTATTTAGACACTTCATCCCAACTCCAGTGGGTACAAGGAAATGACAAGGCTGTGGGTTACCATGGCAACAGTGTGAACCCTCATACCCACCCAGACCCCAGTCAGGACCGGGAGTCCTCAAGGTTTTCATCCCAATCAGAAAAGTCAATGGTTTCTGAAAATAAGGCTGCCAATGTTTCTTACTCAGTCTCAAATATATGTTTCTCTTTGTCTTTCCGTCATCATGTAGTCTCTTCTGCCTTTTTTTTTATTTTTATTTTTTTACAGACGCACAAAAATAAGTGGGTTGAGTTACAAATGGGACACAATAAAGACAGAGTTCATATATCATAGTTGCCCTGCCTGCCTCTCCCATTGTAAAACATCAACCCCTCTCACATCCCAAAGTCCCCGACAAGTCCAAAAGAGCAGAGGAGTGAGGAGACACTAAGGAGGTCACTCCACAACTGTCTACCAGTCCTCTCTGGGAACAAACCTGGGTGTCCCTCACCCCCCCTCTATCCAATCTCCTCCTTCACATCCCTCCACAAGTCAGCAGTATTTTCCTGGTCCTCCTTTCAGTCAGAAGAGAGACATGGGTAAGTGCATGTCTGTCTCTTCTCCCCATCCATCCATGTTCCTCTGTTGGAGATTAAGGTAAAGTGTCAACAACCACCTGGCCAATCAGAGCCTTTCCCACACTCAGGGGTGGGTAATTGGTTGGTGAGTGTGAGGGATTGGACGAGAGAGTTATGGTAGGGTTGATGTAGGGAAGGGGATGATGGGGCGAGGTTTAGATGCTGATAGACTGCAGGACTCTCCTCTCAGCGTCGTTGAGGTGGCCAGAGAACATGCTGTAGCACGGAGACTGGGCAAACTGGGTCAGGAAATCTGTCAGGTAGGCCTAGAACACACAGCACAACAACGTTTATTTAAAGTGAAGTTAAGACATTAAAATACAACCCAAACATCACAGACCATTGAAATCTGTTCAATTCAACTTGATCAATTTCCTCAAGGACAAATAAAAGAGCATAGTTGGACCACAACCACATTCACCCTAACTAGTCATGTTTGTGTGAACTAAATCTAAATGAGCATATTAGCAAAGCATTACCTGGAGGTCTATCTGATATATGGGGTCCTTCAAGGCATCTGGATCCTCCTCCTCATCATCCTCATAGTAGTCTTCATCTGATAAAATAAAAAATACAATTTCATACCTGTGAAACTGCAAATAGAGCTCCAAAACCAAAATGTCTGCCTGCCTAGTGCACTGATTGAGTAGACATCTGGAAGGGAACTTCTCACCATATTTGTTGGAAGCAATGAGGTCAGAGAGAAGCTGCCCGGCCAGCCCTTCATCCTCCTCATCGTCATCCTCCTCTTCCTCCTCTGCCTCCTGGTCCTCCCACATTCCTACTGAATCTGCAGTAACACAACCAAACACTTTGGGATTAGCTACAATGGGGCCCACTTGCTTTCATAATACCAAAACACACATATATAGGTATCAGACTACATTTTCAACAGACAACACCAAGGTCAGACGATTAAGAGACAGGAGGGTATTTTCCGGCCAAATAAAGACATGAGTCTGACACAGCTTTCAAAACTGCTTTCAACTCTAGGTAAGGAAATAAATACACTGAACAAAAATATAAACGCAACATGCAACAATTTCAAAGATTTTACTGAGTTACAGTTCATATAAGGAAATCAATCAATTGAAATAAATTATTTAGGCCCTAAATCTATGGATTTCACATGACTGGGAATACAGATATGCATCTGTTGGTCACAGATACCTTAAAAAAAAGGTTAGGGCGTGGATCAGAAAACCAGTCAGTATCTGGTGTGACCACCATTTGCCTCATGCAGCGCGACATCTCCTTCACGTAGAGTTGATCAGGCTGTTGATTGTGGCCTGTGGAATGTTGTCCCACTCCTCTTCAACGGCTGTGTGAAGTTGCTGGATATTTGGCGGGAACTGGAACACGCTGTCGTACACATTGATCCAGAGTATCCCAAACATGCTCAATGGGTGACATGTCTGGTGAGTATGCAGGCCATGGAAGAACATGGACATTTTTAGCTTCCAGGAATTGTGTACAGATCCTTGCGACATGGGGCCGTGCATTATCATGCTGAAATCAAATCAAATCAAATTTTATTGGCCACATGCGCCGAATACAACAGGTGCAGACATTACAGTGAAATGCTTACTTACAGCGGTGGTCCTCTGTAGCTCAGCTGGTAGAGCACGGCGCTTGTAACGCCAAGGTAGTGGGTTCGATCCCCGGGACCACCCATACACAAAAAAAAAAATGTATGCACGCATGACTAAGTCGCTTTGGATAAAAGCGTCTGCTAAATGGCATATTATATTATATTATTATTATTAACCAACAGTGCATTTCTTTTTAACAAAAAAAGTAAAAAATAAAATAACAGTAGGGAGGCTATATATACAGGGGGGTACCGGTGCAGAGTCAATGTGCGGGGGCACCGGCTAGTTGAGGTGGGCACCGGCTAGTTCACATGAGGTGATGGCGCCGGATGAATGGCACGACAGTGGGCCTCAGGATCTCGTCACGGTATCTCTGTGCATTCAAATTGCCATCGATAAAATGCAATTGTGTTTGTTGTCCGTAGCTTATACCTGCCCATACCATAACCCCACCTCCACCATGGGGCACTCTGTTCACAATGTTGACATCAGCAAACCGCTCGTCCACACGACGCCATACAGTTGAAACCGGGATTCATCAGTGAAGTGCACACTTCTCCAGCGTGCCAGTGGCCATCGAAGGTGAGCATTTGCCCACTGAAGTCGGTTATGACGCCAAACTGCAGTCAGGTCAAGACCCTGGTGAGGACGACGAGCACGCAGATGAGCTTCCCTGAGACGGTTTCTGACAGTCTGTGCAGAACTTCCTCGGTTGTGCAAACCCACAGTTTCATCAGCTGTCCGGTTGGCTGGTCTCAGACGATCCTGCAAGTGAAGAAGACTGATGTGGAGGTCCTGGGCTGGCGTGGTTACACGTGGTCTGCGGTTGTATGGCCAGTTGGACGTACTGCCAAATTCTCTAAAATGACGTTGGAGGCAGCTTATGGTAGAGAAATTAACATTAAATTATCTGGCAACAGCTCTGGTGGACATTCCTGCAGTCAGCATGCCAATTGCACGCTCCCTCAAAACTTGAGACATCTGTGGCATTGTATTGTGACAAAATTGCATATTTTCGAGTAGCATTTTATTGTCCCCAGCCAAGTTAACAAACAGATCACTGACCACTTCGAATCCCACCGTACCTTCTCCGCTATGCAATCTGGTTTCCAAGCTGGTCATGGGTGCACCTCAGCCACGCTCAAGGTCCTAAACGATATAATAACCGCGATTGATAAGACAGTACTGTGCAGCCGTCTTCATCGACCTGGCCAAGGCTTTTTACTCTGTCAATCACTTATTGGCAGACTAAATTTCTCAACTGACTGCCTCGCCTGGTTCACCAACTACTTTTCAGATAGAGTTCAATGTGTCAAATCTGAGGGCCTGTTGTCTGGACCTCTGGCAGTCTCTATGGGGTTGCCACAGGGTTCAGTTCTCGGGCCGACTATTTTCCGTGTATATCAATGATGTCGCTCTTGCTGCTGGTGACTCTCAGATCCACCTCTACGCAGACGACACCATTTTGTATACATCTGGCCCTTCATTGGACACTGTGTTAACAAACCTCCAAACGAGCTTCAATGCCATACAACACTCCTTCAGTAGCCTCCAACTGCTCTTAAACGCTAGTAAAACTAAATGCATGCTCTTCAATCGAACGCTGCTTGCACCCGCCTGCCCGACTAGAATCACTACTCTCGGCGGGTCTGATTTGAATATGTGGACAACTACCTAGGTGTCTGGTTAGACCGTAAACTCTCCTTCCAGACTCACATTAAGCATCTCCAATCGGCTTCCTGTTTCGCAACAAAGCCTCCTTCACTCATGCTGCTAAACATGCCCTCGTAAAACTGACTATCCTACTGATCCTTGACTTCGGCGATGTCATTTACAAAATAGCTTCCAACACTCAACTCAGCAAATTGGATGTAGTCTATCACAGTGCCATCCGTTTTGTCACCAAAGCCCCATATACTACCCACCATTGTGACCTGTACGCTCTCGTTGGCTGGCCCTCACTACATATTCGTCGCCAAACCCACTGACTCCTGGAAATCTATAAATTACATCTAGGCAAATCCCTACCTTATCTTAGCTCATTGGTCACCATAGCAACACCCACCCGTAGTATGCGCTCCAGCAGGTATATCTCACTGGTCATCCCCAAAGCCAACACCTCCTTTGGCTGCCATTCCTTCCAGTTCTCTGCTGCAAATGACTGGAACGAACTACAAAAATCTCTGAAGCTGGAGACTCTTATCTCCCTCATTAACTTTAAGCATCAGTTGTCAGAGCAGCTTACCGATCACTGCACCTGTACACAGCCCATCTGTAATTAGCCCACCCAACTACCTCATCCCCATATTGTTATTTACATTGTTATTTATTTTGCTCATTTGCACCCCAGTATCTCTATTTGCACATCATCTTCTGCACATCCATCACTCCAGTGTTAATACTAAATGATTTTGCACTATGGCCTATTTATTGCCTTACCTCCATAACTTACTACATTTGCACACACTGTATATACATTTTCTATTGTGTCATTGACTGTACGTTTTTGTTTATTCCATATGTAACTCTGTTGTTGTTGTTTTTATCGCACTGCTTTGCTTTATCTTGGCCAGGTCGCAGTTGTAAATGAGAACTTGTTCTCAACTGGCTTACCTGGTTAAATAAAGGTGAAATAAAAAATAATAAATAAAGGTGCACCTGTCTAATGACCATGCTGTTTAATCAGCTTCTTGATATGCCACACCTGTCAGGTGGATGGATTATCTTGGGAAAGGAGAAATGCTCACTAACAGGGATGTAAACAAATTTGTGCACAAAATTTGAGAGAAGTACGTTTTTTGTGTGTATGGAACGTTTCTGGGATCTTGTATTTCAGCTCATGAAACATGGTACCAACACTTTACATGTTGCGTTTATATTTTTGTTCAGTGTATATCATATTGTAATTTGGCTGAACTATCCCCTCAAGGCCAAAGAGAGAAACTGACGTGTGGCTGTTACATAGAAGTGACTCATCACCTGGACTCCAGTCTGCTGCGGCAGCTCTGGTTGCGTTGGCCTCCACCACTGACGACAGCTCATTGACAATCAACTTAAAGACCTTCACTAGCAACGGAATGTTGGTCCACTTCTCTGGATCTGGAGAAAGAGAGACCGAGACCTTTAGCAACACTAAGATGTGCATACCATCAAAGAGTAGACCACCAACAAAAACATTAACAATGAAGCAAATGCATTCCTTATCATACACTAGGCCAGAGAATGGGGGAAGAGGGTGCTTATATGGATCATTCATTCATATAGGCAATGTAATTATCTTCGGCAAATGTATCGCTTTTTTTGTTTATTCTCTTATATTATATTTCTAGTAAATGCTAAGATAAACAGCTGATCACAAAGAGGATGTCTGTATTGGTCGTACTCTTGGCAGACTTGGAGCGTGTGCGGATGCCATCGTCAGAGCCGAAGAGCTCCTCGCCCTTGACAACGATGTCCTGGAGACGCTTGTCGTTGGTGTTGAGGCCGTGCTGCAGAAGCTTACACAGGGCTACCGTACTACACAGGGACAACACAGGAGAAGGGGAAACACAAATGTTATAAACTGACAAAATAATGAATAGATTCTTAGCGTTTAACGGTTCAAATCCCTAGTAATAAAGGTGGAAAGGGGAGTACAGAGAGGAACACACCTTCACTTCAACAGGTGGACAACACAGTCATATTCTACTTTATCATCTATCTTGGGGACAGTGGATGCTCCAGGGCACGGCCCTAAGCCCTCACCTGACTTTGCCCTCATACTGTCCGTAGAAGAGGTGCTGTCGGCTCATCCACTCAGCCATGACAAACTCCAGGGCCGGTTTCCCTGTGGGGCCCGGCAGACTACACAGGAACTCCAACAAAGGCTCCAGCTGAGAGTGGACCAGGTGGGCAAACACCATGATCAGAGACTAAGGAGAGGAGGAGAGAGATGGTCAGAGACTGGGGAGAGGAGGAGAGAGATGGTCAGAGACTGGGGAGAGGAGGAGAGAGATGGTCAGAGATTGGGGAGAGGAGGAGAGAGAGATGGTCAGAGACTGGGGAGAGGAGTCAGATGTTAGCAGGGTCTATATGGGTGGAAAAATAGCAATTGCTGAATAACCATGATGCAAGGCGCTATACAACAGATTAGTATCAATTGAATACTGGAAGCTTGACATGTTGACACCCCAACATCCCAGAAAACACTGAATTCCTCTGATAGATTTAGAGGGGTCAGTTCCAGAGAGTGACAGACGGAGGTGTTTTGTCCTACCTGCATGACACTGAGCGTCTCGGCCTGCTGCATCTTGCTGAGGATGGCTCTGAGGATCTGGTCCAGCTGCTCTCCCAGCTCGGTGCCGGCGCGGGCGATCAGCGTGGACACCAGGCGGCCCACGAAGGCAGCGGTGAACTCTGATGTCCTGGGGTCAAGTAGCTGGCTGACCACCTGCATCACGTACCACAGACCACTGTGGCCCTCCGTGTCCCTCCACTGGCCCACCTGCTCCAGGGCCACCGACACATACGCCCGCAGACACTCACCACCGTTCTGAAGAGGATGGGGTTAGAGTTCATTTAATTTCCATGAATGCATATATACAGGGGAGAAAAATATATATGTGTACTGGTGTAAAAAATAGTGTTGGGATTAACATCTTTGTGCCCTTCTCAGTCTGTCTGTATGTGTGTGTGTACCTGCATGGTGGTGTTGTCATCCGCGCGGAGGGTACACTGGGCCACCACAGGGAAGGCCTGGCAGACCAGCATCTCAGAGAGCGGGGGTTTGGTGTATCTGACCACTGTGGTCAAGATGTCTATGGCTGTCTGTCAGGGAGGTTGGGGGAAAAACACAGGAGACAAATTGTCAATATATGACTGACTGGGACCCTAAAAGTTGATAGTCAATAATAGGGATGTAACGATTCACAATAAATCGGTCCCCGATTCAAATATTTAAGATACAAGTGTATTGGTCTGTTGCCTGGCTACCCAGACTCCTTGCTCCGACCAAACGCCAAGCCACGCCCACGGACGTTAGTATCTTCTCTGCAATGAATCTGGATCGGAGTACCACCCCCACCAGTCACTGAATGCAAACACATTAGGGCCATCTGATTGGTCCAGCAACCGATGGGTTGGGCCAGAGGCCGAACACACATGGGTAAAGCGACGGTTAGAAAATGTGATTATCTGATTGGTTAGACTATCCAATCGCTGATGACTTTGTTTTGTACAACGCCCCTTGTCACCACAAACAACTTCAATGATGGCAGTCTCAGACTATGTATATAGCGAACAACAGAGCAGCGGAATAATTAAGTGTGAGTCGTCAGGCTAAATTGGTCCATGGACACCAAATCGATCCAAATGTAGCATGCTTCGGTCAGAAAATAAATTCAAAAGTCACGAATCGCCAGTTCACAATATTTTTTTTTCAACATTCTTTCTACCTTCCGAAAATACCTTCAGTGTCGAACTACATGTAACTGTGTTGACAGTCACTGATCTACAAGTAATTTTGAATGCCGAACAACCCCAGGCAATATCAGCAGCCTAGTCACACTGCGCACTGCAAGGTAGGCGGCCTGTTCCTGATCTTGCACATTTGCTCGGCACCTTCAGCAATCAAATGCTAAAATGGCTTGCGTGATATTATGTTGTCTCTCAACTAATAAAGCCTATGTAATTTGCTAGGATATCGTTATCTATGCACTGTTGAAAATTGTTTTTTACCGGAATAAAAGTAAGCTACCTGAGACAACTAATCTGGCTATACCTGCTGAACAGGGCTTACAATATATTTTACTTTAATTGTTCAGGTTCACCATCAGCAATAGTTTTGCTTTAAAACAATCAATGTATATGGTCATTTTTAGATATAAAGGGTAAAGTTAATCATTTCATAACGAGGACAGCAATCACTTTTGCGAGGAGCACTGCATGGCTGAAGCGAGAAGTGAAGATCACTCGATAAAAACTTAAAAACGGTTAAAACCATTTGATTTTGGATAAGTCATAGCTAATTTGTCAATTATAAATGTTGATACATTACTATTGATCTGCAAAAATGACAATGGGGGGGGGGGGGGGGGGGGGGGGGGGGGCGTAGGCTACATTGCCCCCCCTAATATGATCGTGATAGTGGGGTGGTAGATGCCTCCCTTATGGCTCAGCTCCGGTGCCTACATAATACATACCCCATAGACATACACTGAGTATACCAAACATGAAGAACACCTGCTTCTTTCCATGACATAGACTGACCAGGTGAATCCAGGTGAAAGCCATGATCCCTTATTGATGTCACTTTTTAAATCCACCTCAAATCAGTATAGAGGATGAGACAGGTAAAAGAAGGATTTTTAATCCTAGAGTCAATTGAGACATGGATTGTGTATGTGTGCCATTCAGAGGGTGAATGTGCAAGACAACAAATGTAAGTGCTTTAAATGGGGTATGGTAGTAGGTGCCAGGCGCACTGGTTTGTGTTAGGAACTGCAACACTGCTGGGTTTGTCCATGCTCAACAATTTCCTGTGTCTATCAAGAATGGTCCACCACCCAAAGGACATTCAGCCCACTTGACACAACTGTGGGAAGCATTGGAGTTAACATGGGCCAGTATCCCTGTGGAACGCTTTTGACACCTTGTAGAGTCCATGCCCAGACGAATTGAGGTGGATGAAAGGTCAAAGTGGAAGAAAAATTCTAACATTTGTACCAAAAAAAAAAAAACACTAATATATCTTGATTAAATAGAGTGCATTCGGAAAGCATTCAGACCCCTTAACTTTTTCCACATTGTTACATTACAGCCTTATTCTAACATGGATTAAACAGTTTTTCCCCCCACATCAATCTACACATAATGACAAAGAAAAACAGGTTTTTAGAAATATCACATTTACATAAGTATTTAGACCCTTTACTCAGTACTTTGTTGAAGCACCTTTGGCAGCGATTACAGCCTTGAGTCTTCTTGGGTATGACGCTACAAGCTTGGCACACCTGTATTTGGGGAGTATATTTCCCATTCTTCTCTACAGATCCTCTCAAGCTCTGTCAGGTTGGATGGGGATTGTCACTGCACAGCTATTTTCAGGTCTCTCCAGAGATGTTCGATCGGGTTCAAGTCCGGGCTCTAGCTGGGCCACTCAAGGACATTGAGACTTGTCCTGAAGCCACTCCTGCGTTGTCTTGGCTGTGTGCTTAGGGTCGTTGTCCTGTTGGAAGGTGAACCTTCACCCCAGTCTGAGGTCCTGAGCGCTCTGGAGCAGGTTTTCATCAAGGATCTCTGTACTTTGCTCCGCTCATCTTTCCCTCGATCCTGACTAGTCTCCCAGTCCCTGCCGCTGAAAAACATCCCCACAGCATGATGCAGCCCCCAACATGCTTCACCCCAGGGATGGTGCCTAGTTCAAATCAAATCTAATCTAATTTTATTGGCCACATGCGCCGAATACAACAGGTGCAGACATTACAGTGAAATGCTTACTTACAGCCCTTAACCAACAGTGCATTTATTTTAAATAAAAAAGTAAAATAAAACAACAAAAAAGTGTTGAGAAAAAAAGAGCAGAAGTAAAATAAAATAACAGTAGGGAGGCTATATATACAGGGGGGGTACCGGTGCAGAGTCAATGTGCGGGGGCACCGGCTAGTTGAGGTAATATGTACATGTGGGTAGAGTTAAAGTGACTATGCATAAATAATTAACAGAGTAGCAGCAGCGTAAAAGAGGGGGATGGGGTGGGGTGGGGGGGCAGTGCAAATAGTTTGGGTAGCCATGATTAGCTGTTCAGGAGTCTTATGGCTTGAGGGTAGAAGCTGTTGAGAAGTATTTTGGACCTAGACTTGACACTCCGGTACCGCTTGCCGTGCGGTAGCAGAGAGAACAGTCTATGACTAGGGTGGCTGGAGACTTTGATCATTTTGAGGGCCTTCCTCTGACACCGCCTGGTATAGAGGTCCTGGATGGCAGGAAGCTTGGCCCCAGTGATGATTTGTTGTTATTCTGTCTCTCACTGTTCAAATAAACCTACCATTAAAATTATAGACTGATCATTTCTTTGTCAGTGGGCAAACGTACAAAATAAGCAGGGGATCAAATCATTTTTTCCCTCACTGTATGATGTCCTTCCATACAGGCGTGACATGCTGGAGTGATGCTTCTATGCAAATGTTGTTGATCAGTAGGCTAATAATGGAACACTGGTCACTTTAATAATGTTTACATACTGTTTTACTCATTTCACATGTATAAAACTGTATTCTAGTCAAGGCCATCCTATTCAACTATTGCTGTACATATACTATTCTATCCTATGTACTCTACAGATATACTACATATTCTATCAGCATACTGTCCATAATGTCTATACATACCATCATAAACATATATACACTTCTTCTTCAATAGTCCATCGTATCCGATGAGGACTTCCACTTCTGAGTTAACAGTGAATTATTTGGTGAACGACTGGATGGCGCCGGAGAAGATGGCTGACGTTTTACAGCCCTCTAACCAATTGTACTATTATGTGTGTTTTTTCGCATTGTTTGTAATTTATTCTGTACATAATGTTTCTGCCACCGTCTCTTATGACCAAAAAGAGCTTCTGGATATCAGGACAGCGATTATTCACCTCGTATTGGACAAACATTTTTTCTTCAACGAGTCGGATGCGAAGGATATTCTACAGACACCCGACAAGGCCCAAATCCCCGTCATTCGCATGAGAAAGAGACAGAGATATCGTGGACGTAGGTCGGGGTGCCTTGTAAGGATCCGACTGGCGAGCGAGTAAACTGCCTCTTACATCAATCCTATTTGCCAATGTTCAATCATTTGAGAACAAATTGGATGACCTAAGACTAAGGTTATCCTACCAACGGGACATTAAAAACTGTAATATCTTATTTTTCACATGGACAACATACAGCTGACGGGATATACGCTACATCGGCAGGATAGAACGGCTGACTCCGGTAAGACAAGGGGTGGCGGTCTGTGTATATTTGTAAACAACAGCTGGTGCATAAAATCTAATACTAAGGAAGTCTCGAGATTTTGCTCGCCTGAGGTAGAGTATCTCATGATAAGCTGTAGACCACACTATTTACCAAGAGAATTTTCATCTATATTTTTTGTAGCCGTCTATCTACCGCCACAAATCGATGCTGGCACTAAGATTGCACTCAATGAGCTGTATAAGGCCATAAGCAGACAGGAAAACGTTCATCCAGAGGCAGCGCTCCTAGTGGCCGGGGACTTTAATGCAGGGAAACTTAAATCCGTTATACCTAATTTCTACCAGCATGTTAAATGTGCAACCAGAGGAAAAAAAACTCTAGACCACCTTTACTCCACACACAGAGACGCATACAAAGCTCTCCCTCGCCCACCATTTGGCAAATCTGACCATAACTCTATCCTCCTGATTCCTGCTTATAAGCAAAAACTAAAGCAGGGAGCACCAGTGACTCCGTTAATAAGGAAGTGGTCAGATGACGCAGATGCTAAGCTACAGGACTGTTTTGCTAGCACAGACTGGAATATGTTCCGGGATTCTTCAGATAGCATTGAGGAGTACACCACATCAGTCACTGGCTTCATCAATAAGTGCATCGATGATGTCGTCCCCACAGTGACCGTACGTACCTACCCCAACCAGAAGCCATGGATTACAGGCAACATCCGCACTGAGCTAAAGGGTAGAGCTGCCGCTTTCAAGGAGCGGGACTCTAACCCGGAAGCTTATAAGAAATCCCGCTATGCCCTCCGAGGCTGGGTAAAAGGCTGTTTTTAGTTGCCAGTCCCACACC